TTATGTATTATTTAACATCATGTCTGGCAATTAATAATGTAACTGGTTAAACATTTAAATTTTTGTTTTGAAATTACAGGGAGATTGGATGCACTGTAAGGGGAATTTGTTCCCTTGATTTTTTTTCATCTCCCTGTAAAAATGGAGCCAAACTCCCCAAACACATACTACTTCCATACTACTAACTACCCCATCCATTACAACATTGTACACTTCTACTTTGAATTTTAAATATGGATCGCTAATAGGGTCATCTTCAACTGATTCAAAATGTTTTTTTTTTTTCTAATTCTTAATTGTGGTAAACTAGTTTCTATTAAGAAATCATAATTTTTGTCTTCAGTATCTTCCAAAGTCTCTAATTTTCTATTTGTATTTTCAATAAATTTTGAAACAATAGTTTTTAATTCTTGGTCATCTCTTGATACCAATTTTAACTGTTCTAAAGCTCCATTCACCATTTGCTGGGATTTATGTATATCCATGCCACTAGTTTGAAAATATTTGGACAAAGGAGTTGTAATTTTGAAAATTCTTAGGTATAAAAATGCAGTTAGTAAAGTAGAATACTGTAGAAGTGATTCTTTTAATCCCTTGGCTTTAGATCTTATGTCTGGTGAATATTTAGTTGTATCTTCAATATCACACAAAGATACTAAAACCTCAACATAAAAAGCATTTTGATCACTATCCGAAGAACCAAATACTTTTCTAAGTGCTTCCTCTTTTGCCCACCATCTTGTTTCACCGATCATTTTAAGCCTTTTATGCCTTATGTTAGAGCTCAAATTCTTGTCCCAAACTGCCATACGCTGATAAGAATCCCTAAAAAAGACTGCTAATCTGTTTAATAGGCAAAATAATGATGCAGCAGAAAGTGGTGACTTTGTCACATCAGAAAGGACTAAATTTAGTATGTGACTATAACACCACACATGAATTTGTCCTGGCGATACACTAGATAGCCACGCAGAAAATCCATTATACTGTCCTTGCATTGATGCAGCTCCATCAGTAGCATTGGCAATACAATTTTCTACTTTCAGACCATTTTCTAACAAAACTTTTTTTAAAAGTTCAAACATACCTAATCCAGAGCTATCTGTACAGTTAACCATAGCTAACAGTTTCTCATGTATTCCATCTGAATTAACGTAGCGTACAACAATTGCACACTGATCTTTTACAGATATGTCTTGTGTAGTATCAAGTTCAATAGCAAACATTTGTGCTTCTATAACTTCTTCACTTATAGACTTTTTTATTAGTTTACTAATGGAATCAATAACTAAATTTATAGTACTTTTAGAAATAAGTGTTAATAGTCCTCCACGCCTTAGATTACCAGACTGATGAGACATTTTACTTTTTTTATAACATAGTCTAAATGATCACTCAACACAATATCAAATTTTTTAAGTAATAAAAGTATTTCTAAAAAATTTCCATGGTCTAATGATGGGTCATCTAAGGTATATGCAGCTTCGTGTATGCTTCCTCTATAGCTTAGCCCCCTTTTCCCAATAAGTTTCACAATATCAATGACACGTTCAAGCACTTGACGTTTCTTTTTTACCATTTCATTTCTTGATTTTTTTTGGTCTCTAAACAAAAGATGATCAATACTGCATTCTTTATAATCCATGAAATAAGCTTCAGTAGAATGATTATGAACAAGACTCTGTTCATGCTCTTTAATACGTTGATGTACATGAGACCAAGTACACATACCAATTATAAATGAATTAATTTCAGTCCCAAAAGCAATAACACACAGAACAAAATAAAGCTTTGCCGTTGTAGGTAAGCCAAAATCGTTGAATCTTATTATCTTTATAAAATACTTTTTTGGAATTAAATGGTGTGTTGATATTAGGTTGTTTAGGATGATAGTTAAAAAAACTTACAATACAATTAGGACTGGGTTTTTGAAACATTTCTGTTTTAGTTTTTTCAATAACAGATTCTTCCTAGAATTTAAGGTAAAA